TGCCTTCGGCTCGGGTCATGATCTCGGAGTCCTGGGATCGAGCCCCGCATCGGGCTCTCTGCTCTCTAGGGGAGCCTGCTCCCTCCTCTCTCTCTGCCTGCCTCTCTGCCTGCTTGTGATCTCTCTGTCAAATAAATAAAATAAAATCTTTAAAAAAAAAAAAAAAGAAGAAGAGAAAAGCCCAATTTATGTAGGTAGGGGTGCTGTGTTGAGTGGTTTGGGTGTTATTTTAAGACTTCTGGTGTGGGGAGGAGCAGTGAATGGGCTTTAGGAAAGTGATTAACATCAGATTTGTGCCTAGTAAGATAATTCCATTACCATGTGGAGGTTGGGGAAGCCCTAAGGAAATCCATTTGAGAACCCATGTGTAGATGGAAAAGAAGGGTAGAAGAGAAAGAGAAATGGCAGAACTTGGGAGACCATGATTAAGAGGCTAGAAAGAAGTCAAGGAGGAATCCTGAGTTTCTGGCTTTGGGCAGATAGTATCATTCACTAAGAGGGGATATCCAAGAAGAAGGATATATTTGGGCAGGAGGAGAAGAAAATTAGGTCCATTTTGGATGGTGTGGAGTTGGAGGCACGTTACCCATAGTGCAGCTGGGCATGTTCCTGTGGCTCAGAGGAGTGATTTGGCCTGGAGGTCAAGTCCCCTGTATACATATTCCAGCAGAAACCACGTGATTCAGTGAGAGTTTCCAGGAAGAAAGGGTGTAAAAGCAAGATGGAGCCTTTAAGAATCCAAGAAAGAGGGGTTCCTGGGTGGCTCAGTTGTTAAGCATCTGCCTTCGGCTCAGGTCATGATCCCAGGGTCCTGGGATCGAGTCCTGCATCTACTCCTGCTCCGCCAGAAGCCTGCTTCTCCCTCTCCCATTCCCCCGCTTGTGCTCCCTCTCTCGCTGTGTCTCTCTCTGTCAAATAAATAAAATCTTTAAAAAACAAAACAAAAAACAAAAAAGAATCCAGAGAAGAAGAAGGGCCCTGCCCAGGAGCCTGAGAAGTGGGAGGAAGATGTGCTGGATGGAGCTCAGGGAAGGGAACTTGAACGGGGAGGAAGGGCCAGAGCCCCCAGAGAACAGGGAGCAGGTGGAGAGGCCTCGGAGTATGCCTCATTCTCCAGTAGCTGGAGCACAGAGGGAAAGAGCGAAAGCTGGGCCGCAGAAGGCAGAGCGAAATTGGTGTTTCTACACTTGGCCGAGCCAGTAGCAAAGGAGGTTAACAGTCAAGAGGTGATACACAGAAAGAGATTTCTGAGGTGATGAGAAATCACAAAATAGCAAGCAAAAGGATGTGTGGAAGAACGATTCTGGAAAGGAGGATGATAGTTTATTCTGAAATAAGTGGGAAGAAGGGAACAGTGGAGTTAGGTGTAGAGGAAATGCCAGAGACTGTGTTCAACATGTATACACACTCTTGTCTTAATCCTCTCAACAACCCTTCCAAACGAGGTATTTGTATCTGTTTCCTCCACCAGAGAATTAATTGGTAGGACGGTAAGTAATTGGTAAGAGAGTAATCCAGGAGGGAAATCTTGCCGTTTGCAGCAACGTGGTTGGAGCTAGAGGGTATTATGCCAAGCAAAGAAAGTCAAAGACAAATACCATATGATTTCATTCATATGTGGAATTTAAGAAACAAAACAGAGAAACATAGGGGAAGGGAAGGAAAACTAAAATAGGATGAAAACAGAGAAGGAGAGAAACTATAAGAGACTCTTAACTCTAGGGAACAAACTGGGGCGCCTGGGTGGCTCTGCCTTCAGCTCAGGTCATGATCCCAGGGTCCTGGGATTGAGGCCGCATCGGGCGCTCTGCTTGTCAGGGAGCCTGCTTCCCCTCCTCTCTCTCTGCCTGCCTCTCTGCCTACTTGTGATCTCTGTCTATCAAATAAATAAAAATAAATTTTAAAAAATATATTAAAAAAAAAACTCTAGGGAACAAACTGAGGGTTGCTGGAGGGGAGGGGCGGGGCTGGGTAACTGGGTGATGGGCACTAAGGAGGGCACGTGATGGAATGAGCAGTTGGTGTGATATGCAACTGATGAATCGCTGAACTCTACCCCTGAAACTAGTAATACACTATCTGTTAATTTTTTAAAAAGGCAGCACCTGGGTGGCTCAGTGGGTTAAAGCCTCTGCCTTCGGCTCCGGTCATGATCCCAGGGTCCTGGGATCGAGCCCCATGTCTGGCTCTCTGCTCAGCGGGGAGCCTGCTTCCTCTTCTCTCTGCCTGCCTCTCTGCCTACTTGTGATCTCTCTCTGTCAAATAAATAAGTAAAATCTTTAAAAAAATAAAAAAGTAATAAAAAAATTTAAAAAGGGTAATCCAAAGTGGTAGGATTTAGGAAGGTTGTGTGTCCACGACAGGGCTTGGCTCAAAGAGGGAGGTAAAGGAATGTTAGCTCCCTCTTTCGTGGATTGCTTCTGTTCTTTAAAAAGGAGTGGGGGGGGGGGAATGCCCAGAAGGTCGCCCAAGGTGTCATTTCACAAACAGTTTCTTGTTTAGCCCCTTTGCGTAGCTGACCCCGCTCTCCCGGTGACGTCTCTGCCCCTGCCTCCACTGGCCCCATCAGCACAGTTAGCTTCATCTTCATAGTGTTTCCAGTACTTGCTTGCATCTTTTCCTTTATTGGGCCAAAGGACAGTTCCTGAGTTGCCCAGTTCCAGGTATAAACACGGGGAATCCAGAGCGGGGCCTTCCCAGCCCTCCCTCAGGTGGCGTGCGATGGTGGCTGGTGGACAGGAGTGGCCCCACCCTTGCGTTGAATTCCCTAATATTTTAAACAGATCTTGGAAAGATTTGTATGATTTACAAGATAGTAACAATTGACAAGGCACATACGTGATACCGAAAACGTTGCTCTGCTTTTCTTGACTCTATACAGCCAGTAGTTTCTGAAGATCAGACAGCAGCCCTGATGGCCCATCTCTTCGAAATGGGATTCTGTGACCGGCAGCTGAACCTCATGCTGCTGAAGAAACACAATTACAACATCCTGCATGTTGTGACGGAACTTCTTCAGGTCAACAACAATGACTGGTACAGCCACCGCTACTGAAGAGGGCCCTCGTATTAAATCATTAGCCTGCTGCTCAGAGATCTTTATTCTGTCCTTGGAGGCGTAGGGGAGAAAGCCCTGGCTTATTTTTTAATCTGATGAATCTATAGAGCCCATTATTGAATTATCAAGACAGTACCTGCATTACAGTATTTTGGGGAGCAAATCAAAGACCAGAACTGAAGCAGAGACATCAGATGAATTGTAGGAAAACGGTTTTTCAGTTGATTTGTATAAAGCTCCGGTCTCCATTGTAGTGCATCTGAAGAGCATAACTTGAACTTCCTATAGAACCGTTTTTCTTTCTGCTTGTATCAAAGTTGAGTATTTTCCTTTGGTTAAACGTGGATGTTTCTATGGGGATATCTGTTGTCCGTTTTTAAAAGAAATTAACCTAACCTCAGAAGTTGTTTTCAAGAATTCTTAACAATTTTTCTAGCCCACCCCAAGCCTCGTATCTGTGTGGTATTGAAATGACACCCAGAGCCCCAGAGAAATCTTGTTACTCCAGCTTGTTCAAGGGCAAAGTCAATTCCCTGCAAGACTTAGTGATCAGCACTGTTGTTTTCTAGAGACCCCACTGGTACATTCAGGAAGATCACCTTGTGGGTCCCCGAACTTCAGTGAAAGGAGGAGGGAGTGTGCTCGTTAACCCACCAGCACCTGTTAGCAGTGTTTACTGTAGTCATTTTGCATACACTTTTCTTTATTTAAGGGAACAAATTTAAGTAGATAGTGTGAAATATTTTGCTAATACTGTAGAGAAGGGAAAAACTTCTATTAAAAGGAAAAAAAAAACGGTTACCTTTTTTTCTTAAGGTCAGGGTAGATGTTACAGTTGAAAGGTGGAAAGTGAAAGGCAGGCTCCCAGCTCTATCTAGTAAAGTCAGTTCAGGGGCAGGCAAATAGGAAATGCTGATGGCTTCTTGAATGTTTTGAAATCTGCTCAAAGGTAACCAGCCTGAGAGAGCCTAGCACAGGGAAGACTGTTTTGCAAATCTTGGAAGGGGACAAACTGAAAAATTTTTGAGTTAACCCCAGAATGAACTGGAAAGCTTGCTGACAGGGCCCCAGGTCCTCATTCTGTTTACAGAAAGGAGTCTTGGGTACAATGGGTGAAGGAAAAGGTAACAAAAAAAAACACTAAAAGCTATTATTCATGAAAATGACTTCCAGAAAAAGAAGACTCTTAACCCTCATCCAAAAGGGGGAAGGATAGTAAACTAGTATTATTTAACCTGGTTGGTATTTATAATGAATGATGATATTAATTAATCATTAGTCATCATGTTTATTTACAGTATACTTCTTGACCGCTATTAAATAAACCAAGATTCAGACTGCAAGCCAACCAGGCTGTTCATTATTTAAAACGTTTTTATCCGGGTTTCTGGGTAGAGGCTGAGCGGCAGGGTGTGTGTAATTAATTGGGTTGATTTGGGGCGGGACCTGTTCTGACCTCCTGAATCGTTATTGCAGGGGTCCAGGAGGACCCTGAGGTCCAGTCGTCCGTCCGATTGTACTTGTATGTAACCGCTTCAAGAATGGTCAAATAAAGGTTCTTTGAAAGCCCTGCCTGGAGTGGCTGGTGCTTGCGGAAGCAGCGTCGGGGCGGCAGGGTGGTCTGTGAAGAGATGAGCTCTTCCCTCAACTGGTCTCGAGAGGGGGCGGGCCCCTGGGGGGGGCAGGGGGGGGCCCTGGGAGGGGGCGGGCCTGGAGGAGCTGGGGCGGAGCCTCCCCCGGCACCGAGTCAAAGCGTAGGGCGAGGCCTAGCCTCGCGCACTTTCGATTCTGCCTGCAACCGTTTTAGTCCTGCTGCCGCCCGGGGTGGGTAAGGCGCTCCGCAGATTTTCCTTTCTTTCCCTTTGGGTGGCAAGGGCCGAGGGACCTTCAGTGCCTCCTAGCCTCACGTAGGCACTCGTGGGTTAACAGCCTCGACTAACGGCCTCGGGGTGTCCGGAAGGACTTAAAATTCTCCATCACTGAAATCCTAGCTTCTGCGGAGCGACTGCTCTCCTACTCGGGACCCTGGCCGAGCCCGGGAGTAGGGCTGGAAGCAGCCTAGCTCCTCCGGGTAGGCCGAGGTCGCTACTCCCCACCCCACGCTGCATATTCGCTCCCCCAGGACTCAGTGGAAGGGGGCCAGTAGCCTGGCCAGCTCCAGCCCGTTGTCCCTCGGGTCGCCCTGCCCTACGAGCCTTTCTCCTGAAAGACACATTCCAGAAATCTCACTTTTAGCTGACAGGTGCGTTGGATCCCAGACCTGAACCAGGTGAGGCGCCCTTGATTTTGGCCCAGCAAGGTGTGGCTCACCTTGCCCTCTCATTCTGCTACTACTCCTGACCCTGTGGGGGAAAATCTGGATTTTTAGCCTTTAGCATTCTTTTTTTTTTTTTTTTTTTTAGCCTTTAGCATTCTTTAGGATGGCCCCTGACCATTGCTCTCACCCTTCTCCAGGCATTCTTTCCTCTACCCCACAGAAAGCAGTGAGGAAGAGATTTCTGCTCCCTGGCAGGGCTTTTTTAAGGTTCTTAGGCACACCTGTGACCAGCCTAGCCTCCTTTCCCTTGTTTCAAAGAATCCCTGCCTTCCTATTCGGCCAGCACCTGCCGGGCTCAGGAATGGAAGCCTTCCTTCCACTCCCAGGCTGGGAGATCGCAGGCATTTCTGCCCGGGTGTCCTGGACACCTCTTCAGAGTCCTCTTGTCGCAGAGGGTGAAGGGACTCTGGACTGTGGCTGCCCCCCTACCGCCCGCCATCCCTGTCCACTTCCTTCCCCTGAAGCAACTGACAGCTCAGCAACTTACCCAGAAAATAAAAATAAAGTGCTCCACCATTCACTTCTGGAAGTCCCTGCTAGGGAAATAACTTCTGCTTTTCTTTTCTCTTCCCTCTCACAGGCAGATTGAGCTCCCCTGCAGTAATGAAAGGAAATACACTGAAATTTCTGATCCCAGAATCCCGTGTAACTGCTCAGTTCTCCATATCCTAACTTCCTTGGGCCGGAGCTTACTGAATTTGGGGTGATGCTCCTTGCCAACCTTGAGAACCCAAAACCAGAGTGACATTCCCATGTCCGTGCTAACAAGCTTAGCAGTGAATTCTGTTCTTTTTCCTTAGTGAAAACTCCCCCTGAATGATGGGTGAGACATTCTCCCATTTGGGCTCTCGGGAGGAGAACAGGTCTATCCTGCCGCCCAGCCCGGCCACTGGCAGCAACGCTGCCCGATACTCCAGCACCCGAAGCAGCAAATCCTTCTGTTCCCGAGCGCCTTGTGAAGGAGCTGCCCGTGCCAGCTTTGTGATTTGTCCCACCTGTCAGGGCAGCGGGGAGATCCCACAAGGTGAGTGGCCCAAGGCTTTGGAAGGAGCCTGGATTCCAGCTGGTCAGGCCCCTCTGAGCCTCCTCGAATTGGGGCTTGGTCCCCCAGCTGCAGGGAGGCCAGCGAGATGTTCCCTAGCCCTGCACTGGCTGCATAGACACCCCACCCCTCCTGCCCTGGTGGTTCTCCCCAGGCGTCTCCAGCTTCCCTGCTCCTTTAGCAACACTGTGCCTTAGGATTCACAAAGTTACAAATGATCTCCCCAGAGAAGCTACACTTCTCTCATTTGCTGGTGCCTTCCGGAAATTACACTTGGTAATGAAAATCTCACTTCCTTTCCGGAGCTGACAAAGTTGAGCTGCTGTCATCTGCCCAGCGGTCCCAGTCCTGCTCTGGGGCAGAGGTGGCATGCTTCTGACCCCACTCGGTGGGGTGAAGGGGTTGCTTCTGGGAGGCTGGCACAGGAAACATTCGTCATGCACACGTCTTAGCCCTCCCTCTCTCTTACCTTCTTTCTCTCCACAGAGCTAGAGAAGCAGTTAGTGGCCCTCATCCCCTATGGGGACCAGAGGCTGAAGCCCAGGCGCACGTAAGCCCCTTTTCTCACCTCAGCTCCACAAGCTGTCACCCCTGGGGTCTGTTCTCTGTCTCCCCCATTCTGCCTCCCCACCACAATTCTTCTCCATGGGAAGCCTCACTGAGTGAGGCTCCGCTTCCAGGGCTTTTCCTGGTTTAAGAAGTCTGGGCCACAGCAGGTGCCACCTGAGGCCACCTGCTGTCGGGAGCTTCGGTGCTTCCAAGAAGCATGGCTCCCTTGTGGAAAGAGGAAGGATCTCTTGACTCTGAGAGGTCTTTCAGGAGGGAGCGAACGACCCAGGCTGCGGTTCATATGGGGAAGTTATTTTTCCTGCGAGCTTCCCTCTCTGTGGCAGCTCAGACCTGCTTGTTCTCTCTGGTTGAGATGGAAAATGAGCTGCTATCTGTTCTGAGGTACAGCACAGCCTCGGAGGTGGCCCTGAGTGTCCCCGGAGGGGGGCGTGACCCTCTTTGTCATGGGTCTCTTGGACGTGAATCCCTGCCCCTTCTGCCCAAGGTGCTCAGTGGTCGAGGGAGAGGAGTGTCCCTCTCTGCCCAAGGTTCTGTGGCGTTCAGACCTGTCCCTTCCTCTGCCCCGGATCCTGCTTTCCCACAGGAAGCTTTTCGTGTTCCTGGCCGTCCTCATCTGCCTTGTGACCTCCTCCCTCGTCGTCTTTTTCCTGTTTCCCCGGTCCATCGCCGTGCAGCCCGCGGGCCTCAACTCCTCCACGGTGGCCTTTGACGAAGCTGACATCCACCTCAACATAACGGTGGGTGGGCGCCCACACCCCTGAGCCCCATGCCGCCTTGCCGGCCACTCTTCTCTGCGGTCCTTGTCGGGCGTTGCCATCCTGGGCTCAGGTAGCCAGGGGTCCTGTGGCAGCCAGAGGGTGTCGAAGCCTGAGGGTAAGCAGGTGCAACCATGAGCCCCATAGTGGAACGTGCAGAATTAGGACTGTACACCCCAAGCGGGGAAGAATCAGGGCGAGAGAAGTAAAACACAGGGTGTGGAGGGCATGCCTGAGACACTCTGGGTGGGCGGAACAGAACAAGAGAGAAGCCTTGCAGGATGAGCCTGGGTCCTGGGCCAACTTCATGTCTTACGGTGACCCCTTCGCCATTAAGAGCCACTCCAAGGGGCTCCTGACGCTGGACTTCCGAAGCTGAGGCCCGTAGTAGGAGTGGGGCTCAGTCAGGTGGAGGGGCAGGCAGGGATAAGGAAGCTACTTGACTTCTCCTTTTCAAGGATGGTCACCTTCCCACTTCCCTTTCCCTTGTCTTCCTTCTCAGAATATCTTAAACATCTCCAATAGCAACTACTACCCCATCACGGTGACCCAGCTGACCATCGAGGTTCTGCACCTGTCCCTCGTGGTGGGGCAGGTCACCAATAGCCTCCTCCTCCACATCGGTCCTTTGGCCAGTGAACAGGTGACCCCCCACCCCCCGTCCTGGGGCCAGCCCTACCCACAGGGGTGTGGACACGTGTGGGGATCGGAAGGGGCAGCTGGGGTTGGGGTTCACCCTGTGCCCATTTGGTTGACAGATATTTTATGCAGTGGCCAACAAAATCTGGGATGAAAACACATAGTAAGTATCCCTTGATCTCTTCTCCCTTAGCTTCTGTCCCTGGTTGGAAACCCAGGCTTCATCCCTACCAGATTTCCTTCTCTGCAGCCAGCATTTGGCCTTCACTGTCGTGGCCAAGATTGCAATCTGCAAGGGATTCAGGGTCACCATCCCTCTGCCTGTTTGGACTTAGGATGGAATGAAAACAGGCCAGAATTTAATTAATTCTTACAATAGGTGACCTTGGACTCTTCAACCTAAATCACTAAGAAGCATGAATGTCTTGTTTTCTGCTGAGGGAGGAGCTAGCACACACCTGGGCCAAGCCTACGGGGCTTGGAGGAATGACATTGCAGCAAGGGTGACGCGCTCACCTTAGAGGGAGAAAGAGTGGGCACGGCATTTGGGGCCCCTGATGGAAAAGAGGCCCGGAGCCTGGGACCGACCTGCAGGTCTCCTCCGAGCTGCCGGGCTGCTCAGTGTGAAACATGGTCACATGTTCTTTTCTCTCTCAGCAAAATCTGTTCCTGGATGAAAATCAAAGTCCACCACGTGCTTTTGCACATCCAGTAAGTAGGGCTTGGAGCCCGGGTGTCCCTCTCGCCTCCTTCTGACCCCAGCAGAGCTGCACTCTGCTCACCTTGTGGGAGAGGTCCTCCAAAGCTAACTCCATGATCTTTGCTGGCTCTTGGGAAGGCAGATCCCACCCCTTCCCTAGACCCTGCCTTGCTTATAAGCCATCGGTGTGACAGCCACTGAGCTGTCTGGATCACAGGTGGGACAGCTGTCCCAGGTGCGTTGGCAGAGCAGGGAGCAGAAGGAAGGGGGGTTGTTTGAGGGATCCCCCACCCCAGACAGCAGAGCAGGGCCAGAGCTTCCTCTTCTCCCCCCACCCCTCCACCACCAGACATAGCAACAAAGCGTGCTTCCTCTCCAGGGGCACCCTGACCTGTTCCTACCTGAGTCATTCAGAGCAGCTAGTCTTCCAGAACTATGAGTACGTGGACTGCCGGGGAAACTCGTCAGTGCCCCACTTGCTGGTCCCTCATCCGCCGTGACCTGCCTGCTGGTCCCGCACTCCAGGCCCCTGCCAGCCTGGGCTGTATCTCCCAGAACCCAAGGAAGGACTACAGTGACTTTGCCAAAGGAAAAGCTCTGCTTTATTCTACCTCCCCCCACCACACACACCCCCTCAACCACAGGAAGCCCTATGTGGAAGTTAACTTTACACACACACACACACACACAGATGCACGTCACTCACGTCCTCTGACTTCCACCAGAAAAGAAGTCTGGTTCTTCTAGGAGCCAGTGCCAGGCTTTCCCCTGTGTCTGTCTTGAGGAGAGCCTGACCTGATACAGCCTTGAGGTGTCGAGTGGCATCTGTTCTCTGTACTGAGTACCTTGGTTGCCTCACTCCTCGGGCTGGCCTTCCTCCGGCCTGAAGGGGGAACTCTTTCATTTTATCTGGCTTTTAAAACAGGGATCTTTTTCAAGTTCCCCACCCAGTGTTGGGAGGGTGACTTGAGGGAGTCAGTGCTGTCTCGTTCCTTCCGGCTTTGGTCACGTGACAAAGGGGTGAGGCTGGTCGGCTTCTCTCCTGGGAACTTGTACCCCGACGACAAGGGGCAAGGTTGGCTAAGGCCTGCAGCTCGGCGGCCTCCCCAGTTAAAGGCTGCCCCCGTTCCTAGGAAGACAGAGCTTTTCTCTGGCTAAAGCTTCTTGCCAGAAAATCGTTTTATTATTCCCATGACAGCAGGAGCAAACATAGTAGGGGAGGAGAGGGAGGCATCTGGCACCCCCTCTGTCTCTCCAGGAAAAAAAAAAAAAAAAACAGATGAAGCCAGAGTCACTTGGGAAGGCATTTATTGAAGTTAGGCTTCTGGCTGGTGGTTGGCCCACAACCCTGGACCCAGGTCAGTCAGCCGGTTGCCCCAGCTGCTGCTCTGCGATAGCTTACAGAGGTCAAGCTGTCAGGATTCGGCCACAAGCTGCTGGGCTCTACGGCCTCCCCGGCTTAGCTCCAAGGCCCATCCTCTGCTCCCAGAGGCCTCTGCTTTCCTTTGGGCATGGGCAGGCTGGAACCGCACATCAGGAGGGGCTGGTCTTAACCTCTCTCTGCTGTCACTCGGGTGAAGAAGCGAAGTCCCAGCTAACTCGGGCTCCCACTGGGCTGCAACTGGAGGCACTGAGCAGGAATGGTAATTGCTCGCTAAAGGCAGCTGTGGTTTCTCTCAGGCCTGTAGATGAACTTAGGTGGTGGGGAAAGCTGAATGCCAAGTTGGGTGGGTGGAGAGGAGGCAGTGGGGACAGCACCTGGCTAGCTGGCTGCGGGGGACGACGGGAAGGAAGGAGGTTGTCCTGTCTCCCCGAATGCATTCATGCCTGAGTAACTAGAGTCAGGAAGAGGCTGGCAGGAGCACAAAAGTCCGGAAAGGCCAGCCTGGAGTTTCTGCTGAGTGTCAGTTGCCAAATGTAAAGGATTTATATTGTATTCAGTGAACTATACTTCACAATGTTAAAGAGTAAACAAAGAGCCTCCTGTGAGTTGGGAGGAGAGCTGGACCTGCGCGACACTGCTGGGCTGTTTGGGGGTGTCTGAGTGGGTGCCAACCTCTTCTCCCCAGGCCCTGAGCCCCTCTGCTAACCACCCCTCTCCCCCTTCCTTCACCTTGTGTCTCTTAAGTTCCCTCCCTACTTTAATATTCCTGTTCTGTGCCCTACCCCAGGTCCCCCAGGGGAAACACTGCACTGAGGGGCCCCTTCAGCCTGTGTAGGCTTCCGTGAAAGGCCCAGGCATCCCCTCATCAGCGCCAGGTGGAAAAGGGGACAGGCTGTGGGAGAGACCCCGGATGTCAGCTTCAGGAAGTGGTGAGGGGGTGAAGGCTGATTGCTTCCGGGAGGGGCTGAGATGGAGGAAGGAAGAGGCCTGTGGGGTTTTGTGGGCCAGTCTGCCTCCCCTTCCCAAGATGAGGTGTCCTGTGTTTAAGGGGACAGTCCGCCTTTCCTCTGAGCTCTTTCCAGCCCTGCGTCCCGTCATCCATGCCACAGCTCAGTGCCCGCTGTGGGCCAGGCATTACACTGGACTTCGGGGGGGCACTGCCTGCCACCTCCAGTCCAGCTCCAGGCCTGCTCTGGTGTGATGCAATTCCTCCTCCTCAGTAAGCATCTGCCAGTGGGGAGGGGTGATGGTTCCAGCGAGAGTCCTAAACCTAGAGCCTCCAACAGGGGGGTGCCTGGGGGCCTCAGTCGGTTAAGCATCTGACTTTTTTAATTTAGGCTTGAGCCAGGGTTGCCAGATGGGGCCCTGTGTCCGGCCCTGTGCTCAGCAAGGAGTCTGTTTGTCAGGGCGCCTGGGTGGCTCAGTGGGTTAAAGCCTCTGCCTTCGGCTCAGGTCTTGGTCTCAGGGTCCTGGGATCCAGCCCCGCGTCGGGTTCTCTGCTCAGCAGGGAGCCTGCTTCCTCCCCTCTCTCTCTCTGCCTGCCTCTCTGCCTACTTGTGATCTCTGTCAAATAAATAAAATCTTAAAAAAAAAAGGGGGGGGAGTCTGCTTGTCCCTCTCCCTCTGCTCCTCCCATCACTCCCTCGAGCACACACATGTTCTCGCTCTCTCTCAAATAAATAAAAGCTTTGAAGCCCCCAACAGACCTGTCCTTGCTAAAGAAGAGCCAGCAATGATCTTTAAAAAAAAAAAAGGGGGGGGTGCGCCTGGGTGGCTCAGTGGGTTAAAGCCTCTGCCTTTGGCTCAGGTCATGGTCCCAGGGTCCTGGGATAGAGCCCTGCATCATCAGCCTCTCTGCTCTGCAGGGAGCCTGCTTCCTCCTCTCTCTCTCTGCCTGCCTCTCTGCCTACTTGTGATCTCGGTCTGTCAAATAAATAAAAATCTTAAAAAAAAAAAAAAGAGCCAGCAATGGAGCTATAGACTTGGGATGGTCAAGACCAAGTTCTCCCATTGGCTTTGCCTACAGAAGCATGGAATCACCTACTTCCTTCTCCCACCCACTCCATCCCCTTCACAGGTCCTCATTCTCCCCTCGCTTCCAGTCTCACAGAGCTGACCAGTCTCTTGATTCTTTTCAAGAGGAAATCACATTTTATGCCCAGCTAGCCTCTTCTAGAGTGAATCAGGAGGGGGTGACTTTTGGAGTGGAGATGCTGGGGGCGGGGAGGGGGTGAGAAAGCGGTCATCTGGGTTTTTTTGCTGATGGCCAGTGGGGTTGAGGGTCTGTCTCTGGATCACCACTGCTGCATGTAATTCGTCGACTGAGAAGAGGGAGAGACGGGAGGCAAACCGGGTTAGTTAGCCATTTCTGGGCCTGCTGTTCCAGAACATTGTATTGGCCCTTTTGAGGCCAGAGGAATAAACATAAAATGGAGTGCCCCAGTCCTCATCCACCCTAACAGGGCTAGCATCGGGCTCTCTCGTCCTTTGCACCTGTGTCAGAGAAACCTTCTTTCCAAAGCTTGTACTGTGTCACGTCCTCATAAAGGGGACCACCCCTGGGTTCGGAGGCCTGGATTAAGCCAGGTTCAAAGCTAAGGGCTTGTGATGCCTTCTCTTTCAGTTGCCACATTCAGTGGTCCTGACACATCTGTCAAGGAAGTGGTGTTATCACTCAGTTTATGGACAGGCCCTCGAGGCCCAGAGATGCTCTCCCGCAGCTGGGGAGTGGCGATCCCGAGACTCCCATCTCTGACTTTATGTCCCGCCCTCCTCCTGCTCCAGCTGCCTCTGCCCCAGCCGGCACTTAAAACAGCCCCTCTGGTTTGCTTCTCTGGCCCCAGTCCTGTCTTTCTGAATAGATCAAGCCCTCCGTTTCTGCCGAGTGCTGAGCGACAGGTCCTCCTCCACATTTTTTGGGAAGGCAACAAATGAAGGAATGGGCCATCCAGCAGTGACCATACAATTGCCATATAAAGGCTTTACGTAATTGACTTCATAAAATACAAATAACTGTAGCCCCTCCGACCAAGGAAGCCTCCCTAGATTCCGCACACACTTACACACGCAGCCAGAGTCAACCCGCCTTTCACTCTGTCTCACCGTGAATCGTGAGTTCCCTGCGTATTTATCTGGATTTGACTGGAATGACTTCCTGAAACCTGATGGTGAAAGAAAGCACAACATCATGCATCTGACAGTTTCTGGAAAAGGAACGCGGCAGAGCTGGACTCTACTATGTGTCTGGGGCCCAGGCGGCAGCCCCCACCTAGGGCAAGGCACCGACGGAGCCTACCCTGAAAATTCACAACCGGGAACCCTGCACTGTCCTTCCCTGTTCCAGACTTGCCAGGGCTGGGTAAGTCTCTTGTTAAGCCCACCCTCACTCCCTCTGACACCCTCGTCTCAGAGGAGGAGCTGCTGCCCCCTGCAAAGGTCAGCAGCCTCCTTTGCACCCCTGGAGTGAGGCATACATCCCAGGGGGAGTGGCCCCCAAGTAAAAGCCAAGGATGCCCCGAGAGGGTATCAGAGTCAGTGGGAAGACGGATGTGGACTCTGGGTTATAGGGTTGGGGGTGGGAGCAGAGAGTTCTCACCACCTGCCCTCCCAGGCATCTCACTTAACTAGGGCCTTGAGGGGGTTTTGTTCCTCCTGGGAATCTGTTAAAGTTGGATTTCCCTCCAGCTTGATGGGTCCCTACTGAGCCAAGCTAGGGACCTGACTTTTGGGTCAGAACATGCACAGAGGTGCACTGCGTAAGAGGGTCTTGGGCATTCTGTTGCCTTGCTGCGGCGGTGGCTGCGGTGGCTGCGACGGCCCGGCGCGTGGGGTCTGTGTCTGCTCAGGGACCTGCGGTCGGCAAGGCTGCGGTTGGGCAGGGGGTGCCTGCGGCTGTGGTTGCGCTCCTGGTGGCCTCCGTGGCGGTGGTGGCTGCTGCTCCTCTCGCGACCCCCGAGGGGACTGGGGTTTTTTCTCAGATTGGTCTTTCTCCTCTTGGAGTTTCTTCAGTTCCTGGCAAGAAGCCCCCCCACAAGTGGCATCCTCCTTCCTCCCTACCCAGTCACCCATCTGCCAGAGACACTGCAGGGAGCAAGGCAAGCGATCAGTGGAGAGACAGAGGCGGTGTGAAAGTCTCTGTTCCCTGGACTTGGAGGCTGGGCTATCTCCCTTCACCGCACAACACCCAAGACCTGTTTCTTCTGTGACAGTGCCCCCTGGCACAGCCCCCGGCCCAGGAAACAACAGTCTCCGCGCACCTACCTCCTACCTTGGGAGCAGTAAGGGGAGAATAAAGGATACGTTCTTGCAAACACTTTGAAACAGCACTGTCCACAAGAAATATAAGGCAAGCAACAAGTAATTTACAAATCTAGTAGCCACATGAAAAAGCAGGAAGAGGGGCGCCTGGGTGGCTCAGAGGGTTAAGCCTTTGCCTTTAGCTCAGGTCATGATCTCAGGGTCCTGGGATTGAGCCCCACGATGAGTTCTCTGCTCAGCAGGGAGCCTGCTTCCCCATTTCTATCTGCCTACCTCTCTGCCTACTTGTGATCTCTCTGTCAAATAAATAAAAAAATCTTTAAAAAAAAAAAAGAAAAAGCAGGAAGAAAACAGGTGAAACCGATTTTAATATATTTTAGTTAACCCAATACCTCCAAACCATATAATCAATATGAAAATATGAGTGAGAGGGGCGCCTGGGTGGCTCAGTGGGTTAAAGCCTCTGCCTTCGGCTCAGGTCATGATCCCAGGGTTCCGGGATCAAGCCCCGGCATCAGGCTCTCTGCTCAGCGGGGAGCCTGCTTCCTTCTCTCTCTGCCTGCCTCTCTGCCTACTTGTTATCTCTGTCTGTCCAATAAATAAATAAAATCTTTAAAAAAAAAAAAATATGAGTGAGATAGTTTATATTCTGTGTTTTTGTACTAAGTCTGCAAAATACAGCATGTATTTTATATTTAACAGCACATCTGAATTTGGACTCTACATTTTGATCAAAAATAATTGCCTTAGGGGCACGAGGGTGGCTCAGTCGCTAAGAGTCTACCTTCATCTCAGGTCATAATCCCAGGGTCCTGGAATCGAGCCCTGCATGGGGCGGGAAGACTGCTTCTCCCTCTCACACTCCCCCTGCCTGTGTTACCTCTCTCACCTCTCACCGTGCCTCTCTCTGTCAAATAAATAAATAAAATCTTAACATAATAATAATAATAATAATTGCTTTAGATTTAGATTTCATTAATTTACAGTTGAAAAATTGTTCTATCCAAGTTGTTCTAAACATACTTCAAAGTTTTCTAATACATAAAGAGTATTTGGTTTTAAATTTAGATTTAAATTAATTAAATCTCTATACAATTTTAAATTCAGCTCCTCAGTCTCACTAGCCCCGTCTCAAGGCTCAACAGCACACAGGCTGGTGGCCACCCTATTGGACAGGGCAGCCTTAAAATCTCTCAGGCCAGGGCGCCAGAGTGGCTCAGTCATTGAGCGTCTGCCTTCCACTCAGGTCATGATCCCAGGGTCCCTGCTGGGCAGGAAGCTTGCTTCTTCCTCTCCCTCTGTCTGCCACTTCCCCTGCTGGTTCTCTCTCTCTCTTTCCGTCAAATAAATAAAGTCCTTAAAAATAAAAATAAAAAATAAATAAAATCTCTCAGGCCTGAACCTCCCTGGATCCCACACTAGGTCTCAGCCTAGTACAACAGCAAAGTTGAATTACCACAACACACACACACACAGACACACACAGTCCATCCAAGAGAATGTCGAAGGACCTTGACTTTCTTTCCACTCCTAGCAAAATACATCGACCAGGACACCTGGGTGGCTCAGTGGGTTAAAGCCTCTGTCTTCGGCTCAGGTCATGATCCCAGGGTCCTGGGATCGAGCCCTGCATTGGGCTCTCTGCTCAGCGGGGAGCCGGACTCCCCCCTCTCTCTGCCTGCCACTCTGCCTACTTGTGATCTCTCTCTGTCAAATAAATAAATAAAATCTTAAAAAATACATTGACCAAATAATAGCTTCCTAGACATCGGTCTTCCCTCCCCACTCCCCTCTAGCCCCACCCCCACCCCAGGGAAGGACCCTGATGAACCTGGACCCTCTCCTGCACCTGTTGCTCCTGCTGTTCCCGTTGTTCCTCCTGTTCCTGCTGTTCCTGCTGCTGCCGCTGGTGCTTGACCATCAGCCACCTCCTCCGGTCCAAAGCCATCTGCCTACGCCGGGCCTCCCAGTGGTAAGCACTGCCCATGATGGTGGGGGTGACCAAAGGCATCAGAAGGGGGTGGGGGCAGGCAGAGCCCAGGTCACTGCCCCCACCGCCTCTGTTTCCTCCCACCCTACCCCACTGCCTGTACCCAGAACTGCCTCACAATGGGAGGAGGGAGGTGGTCTTCCTAAGTTGCCTAGGG